TTCGCTAGTAATACCTGCGTGAAGAAGACTTTATAGAGTATTTTCCACTAATTACTATAGTTTAGCGTTCGATTATATAGGTGTATAGTAGCTTAAGTAATCTTTAGCTAGAGTTCCTATATGTTATAAGTAATAAGAAGAATTCTCTCCTTAATAAATAACGAGATAGCTAAAGGCTTATAGACGTCTACGTTAGAAGGTAATAATTATCACGGGGCCTAGAGTCACGTGATATGCCATCCCGCTAAGACAAGACATCCCGCTAAGCATAGGATAGTAATAGGATTAGAGATAGTATGCTATTATAGACATCACGCTAAGAAGTAAGAAAATAAGATAGATAGGATGGTAGAACTAGAAGCAATAAGAATATAAGGATAGATAGATTTTATTATTACTCTTATTATAGTTAACTTAAATTATACTTTCTTACTAGTATCTTTACTTAATAAGATTATTATAAGTTAGTCTATTAAATAGATTAGTCTTATTAAACCCTTCTTAAGCACGCTAACTCTACTGTATTACTAGATAAGCCTTACGGAATACTAACGTATTACTTACCTACCTTAGTGCGGACTAAAATAGAGAAGTATAGACTCTTACTCTATATAATACTTTAACTACCCACGGATCTAGTAGAAGAAGGATTAACTAGTAGCGTCTAAATAAGATTAAACTATATTAGAAAATTTAAGCAAATATATTTATATTCTAGGCTTGGCGCCTAAGGGAGATATTAACATAACTGATAGTATCTAAGGGGGAAATAATAAGCTGGTAGTAGAGAGCTCTAAGTACGAACTCGTTAATCTTAGACGCGAGAGCTAAGCCTAAGTAAGATAGATAGCTAAGTTATAGAATACGATTAACTAACTTATAGGTTAACTAATAGCTACCCTAAACGAGAAACTACTTAAGAAGCTAAAAATAGCAACCCTAGAAATGTATAATAGAAGTCGCACTAAGTTACAGATATTCCTTACTAATATTAACTTATATTATAAATTTAATAAAGTACCTAACAACTAGGAAAAAATCCTTATAGCTAGCACCTATATAAAGAGATAAGCGTTAAGCTGGATATAGCTATACGTAGAGGACTACCTATTAGATATTAAAAAAAGAGGAATAAAGGATAAGACGCGTACCTTATTTACTAGTTAGGCTAAGTATAAGAAAGAGATAGGATATATCTTTGGGGAAGTAGATACTTAGAACTAGGTAGAGAAAGCGATAACTCGCCTAAAGTAGACTAGTTTAGTATTAGCGTATATAGCTAAGTTTAAGTAGCTATAGGCACGAATTAACTAGAACGACGTAGCACTTCGAACGGTGTTCGAAGTAGGTCTAAAGGAAAATGTTAAAGACAGACTTATATATTATAATAAACTAAATACGCTTTATACGCTAATTAAGTTAGTAATACATATTAATAATAGACTATAGGAAAGAAACTAATAAAGAAAATATTCCTAGCTAGTAATAGCCAACATAAGGAAATAGCGTAGCTAGTTTAATAAGAATAGCGATACTATTATAACTAGTAAGGTATAAGATAAGTCTAAGGATAAGAATAGAAAACTCTAAGGATAGTATAATAACGGACTCTCTATAGAAGAATGTAAGAAGCGTTATAATAGTAAGGTATGTCTCTAATATAGTAAAGTAGGATACTTCTATAGAGATTACCTAAAAAACGAAGTTAGATAAGGAGCAGTTAAGATTAGGATAATTTAGATACTAATACTATACTTAACTAAGGAGCTAGATAAAACTCTTAGCAATCTAGACCTATATAAAGAAGTAAGACAAGCTACTAACAAGGCCTTTAAGCTAGTATAAGAGGTAATAGAACTCTAAGACTTTAAGTAGAACGTACTACTACTAACGGATTAGTAGATTAAAGAGGCTGAAGTACTACGCCGCCTAAGAAACTAATAGTACTAGATTTACGGAACTAATATATATTAAGCTAATAATTATAATATTAATAGACGAGTTATAATCTTAAGACTCTAAGTAGATAAGATTACTTATAGAGCTACCTAGGAACAACCTAGGTTTAAGGAACCTAATAACGAGAAGACACCTTAGACGTTTAAGGAATAAATAGAGTAATACAAGCGCCTATATTAGGTTAACTACCTAAGATAGTATAATTATTACTTAAGAAAGCGAGAAGAAACTAGAGATAACAAGAACAATTGCTGCTATACTAATTTATAGTATAACGAGTGTCGCGTATAGTATTACTATATATACTAGCTTAGAGAAAAGGAAGCTTATAAAGAGTTATGCTAAATTAAGTGCACGATTAATTACTAATTCTATAAGGAATAGCGATAGAAAGCTAGAAGGGTAGACGACTACTACTATAGTATAATTTCCGCCAAAGAATGTATAGTAAAAAACTGTAGAATATATAGGGCCTAAGTATAGAAAACGCTAGTAGAGTATAATAAACTTCTATAGACGCATTATAAGAAAGGATGCGCTATATACTAATAATAGTTTAAGGATACTCAATAGGTAGGTAACTACTACTATAGTACTCTATTAGCGAATAATTATAAGGTAAAGAATTACCTAATTTATAAAAGCAGGAGGCTGGAACTAAGAAAGAGGACTATGTAATAGAAGACACCTTATAAGAATATCTATTAGAGCTTCTGCTATAACGACTAGTGTATAATATACTATTCCGCCAAAATAAGCGAAGGCTACTTTCTAAGGAAGAAGAGAAGTAGGTAGTTAAAAAACTAGAATACTACTAGGGATAGGGTTACGCTAGCAAAGGCAGTCCTAACATAACTCTTAGATAAGTATAGAAAGTAGAAGTAAAAGAATTATAATTAAAAGCTATAGTACTTATAGACAGACATAAGGTGCTAGCGCTTATAGATAGTAAGGCCGCACGAACTATTATATCTCCACGAGTAATAGAAGGAAATAATATACCCTATCAGAATAAGAAAGTACTAATGCGAGTAGTATTAGCCGACAATAGTCCTATAATATACGGGAATAGTTAGATCTAACTTAAGACTAAGGCAGTAATATTACGCCTAGCTAATTAAGAAAGCTAAGAAAAGATTAGCATTATAGATCTTAGAGAGACTAAGATAATAATTAGCTACGATTAGTTATTAAAGTATAACCCTACTATTAATTAGTAAAAGAAGATATTACTTAGCTAAGAGCCTATACACAAAGTTGCTAAAGTACGACATATGATACGCCCAACAAATCAGCGCGTAATCTAGAATAGAAGATTTAGTATAATCTTACTATATAAGATCGCGAGAATCTATACGAAGAACTTTTAGAATATAGAAGTTATTTAGATATAGTAGATCGCGACTATAAAGGAAGAATTAGTACTATAGTTAGCAATTCTAACAGAATACTAAACGGACGAGGTTAGAGAACTATTTAAGGAAAATAAAGTAACGAACCTAGTAGACTATTAGAATTAGGATTACGAGATTATTCTTAATAAAGGAGCTAAGTAAAGCCTAGAACTAATATACTCTATAGCGCCTAAGTATAATACTAAGCTGCGGGATTATATCTAAAAGAACTTAAAAAAGGGATTTATCTAACTAGAATTAGGCCTAATAGCCTTACCTATCTTATTCGTAAAAAAACCTAACAGGAAGTAGCGACTATATATTAACTTTAGAAAGTTAAATAGCGTAACTTAGAAGAACTAATATCTCTTACTACTTATTATAGAGCTTATAGATTAACTCTAGGGAGCTAAGTAGTTTACGAAGTTTAATGTTTAGAAAGAATTTTACTAAATTAGAATTAAAGAAGGTTATAAATAGATAACAGCGTTTAAAATGAAGTACGGACTCTTTAAGTATATAGTTATGCCGTTTAGATTAACGAATGCGCCGGCAACCTTTTAATTAGTTATTAATAACGCACTCTATAAATACCTTAGAATCTTTATTACTACGTATCTAGATAATATACTAGTATACTTTAGTGGCACACGCGAAGAACATATCGAGTATATTAAGAAGGTCCTACGAAAGCTTAAGAAATATAAGCTATACTTTTAACTAAGAAAGTGTAAATTGTACATATAGAAAACAGAATTTCTTAGATTTATTATATTAACTAAAGAAGTGAAAATGAACCTAAAGAAGATATAGACTATATAGGAATAGCTAATGCCTAAAATAGTTAAAGATATTTAATTCTTCTTAGGATTTATAAACTATTATTAGATGTTTATTAGAGATTACCTAAAGATTATAGCACCTCTTACAGAAATAATAAAAAAGGAAATAGATTTTAAATAGGAATAGGAATATTAAGAGGCTTTCGATTAAATTAAGCAGATATTCCTAGAGGCGCCAGTACTTAAGATATACAGCTCTTAATAACCTACTAGAGTTAAGACTAACGCGTCTAACTATGCACTTAGAGCTGTATTGTCACAGTAGTACCTAGATAGAAAATAGAGACTAGTGTTCTACTATTCACGAAAGTTCTCTAGAGTAGAACTTAACTATAATATTCACGATAAGAAACTACTTAGAGTAGTCGATGCCTTTAAATAATAAGAAGTATACCTACTAGGACTCTCTAAACAGATCGAGGTTTTTACTAATTACTAAAACTTAACAAGTTTCATAATAACGAAAAAACTTAACTAATAATAAGTATAATAAGTAGAGATGCTAGCCTAGTTCGACGTTAAGATTACGCACCGCGTAGGGACGCTTAACAGAGTAGTGGACGCTTTAAGTAGAAGATCTAATTTGCGCGAAGAGGGTTATAAAGAACTACATAACGCCTTACTTAAGATAATACCTAATAGTAGTCTAAAGTATAACTAGCTAGAACTAGCTAAGATAGCTAAGGTGGCCGAGCAGGTAGAAACACTATAGAAATAATAGCAGGAAAAAGCAATATTATAGGCGTTAGAAACGGACCTCTACCCGCTAGAAGTAACAAACAATAGGAAAGAGCTTAAAGCTCTAAGAGAATATACAAGTATATACATACTCTTATATATAAGAACTAAACTTATTAAGACTCTGCATAAGTCCTTAGAATATAAACATATAGAGGTAGACGAAATAGTTAGACGACTAGCTAAGGTGTTTATAATACCACGCTTACAAGCGAAGGTACAGAAAATACTAAGTAACTATTTAGTATATTACTAGAATAAGCCTAAGAGACATAAGCCTTATAGCCTATTATAACTCTTATAGCCACTATCTAGATTATAGATAAGCGTAATAATAGACTTTATAGTAAAGCTCCTAAGATCGTTAGAACTAAGATTAGCTCGATTTTGCGATATAATTCTAGTAATCATAGACCAACTAACTAAGGTAGCAAAATTTATACTTATAGAAGAGACTATTACGGCAGATAAATGCGCGTACGAGATTATAAAGGCACTAGTGTTAGAGTATAGGATACCTAAAGAGTTTATCACTAATTATAATAAACTATTTACGTCTAAATACTAGAGTATATTCCTAGTAAAGTTAAGTGTTAAGAAGAAGCTTTTAATAAGCTTTTACCCGGAAATAGATAGCTAGACGGAATAAATAAACTAGATATTAGAATAGTATCTACGAATATACGCTAATAAGTTATAGAATAACTAGATAGAACTACTACTAACAGCGTAATTAGCCTATAATAGTATAAAATTAGCAATAATGAAGTATTTACCGCACTACGCGAACTACGGATATAAGCCGACTGCTTATTAGGATCTAAAGGATATTAAAAGTATCGTAGTAGGAGTAGACGATAAAGCGAAGCTTATATAAGAATTATACGAAGAATTAAGTAAGAATATAGCTTAATAAAACCTTACGATATCTAAAGCAGCGAATAAATAAAGAATTAAGAGACTAACCTTTAAGAAAGGGGATAAAGATTTTCTATTAAGATAAAACCTAAAAACTAAACGACTATACAGAAAATTAGACAACCTCTAAATAGAACTATTTAAAATCCTAGAGAAAATAGAAAAAGTAAACTATAAGTTAAAACTTCTATAAGATATATAAATTCACTCTATCTTTTATAAGAAACTTCTAGAACTAGTATCTCTAGATACTAAGCTAGTAATAGATATAGAGCTCAAAGATAACGAGTATAAGGTCGAAGAAATTAAGGACCTACGGAAAATTAGTAGTTAGTAGAAGTACTTAGTTAAGTGGTAAGAATGGCCCGAAAGCTATAATACTTAGGAACTTAAAGAAAACCTAACGAACTATAAGTTACTAGTACGTGAATACTACTAGAAGTACCTAGAGAAGCGAGGGGAAGCCTCTTAAAGAGAAAGGAATAGTTAAAAGAAGAATTATAGTAATTAGCCTATAACCCGCCTAGATTAGCCAATAATCTAGATAGTGATAGTTCGATAATAGGAAGGCCCGTACCACTAGAGGCTGAGTTTCTCTTAGCCTGCCCTTTCGCACGATTCTAGAACTCAAGAAGAGTAAGATCGCAGTAAGCGAAAGAACGCTCACGGGACTTTATCTTCAAAAGCTCTACCTCTTATTAGGATAATTAAGCGTCTAGCTAAGTACGCTAAGCCTTTAAACAAGCGACCTAAATCTCTTTCTACTCACGCTTTTACTAAACTTTCTCCTACTTCTCCTTAGAAATAAATAAACTATACTTAGCTTTTATAGCAATGCAACCACTGCAGCGCCTAGTAGTAGTGTCTATAAAATAACGAAGACCCTTTTTCTTACAACGCTTATAACGGTAAACCGTTATTTCGTTCCTCTGCTCTATTACATAGTTAGCACGAGAATAACACTCCTTATTAGACTTTTCAGCACGAACGCGACAAGACGATAGGACTTTAAGCATAGTTAGGAAGACTACGAGGCAGAGATGGCTATAACAAGTGGGCGGGCTCTAACCTTATATGTAGCCAGCGTCTCAACACGCAGCACAGGAAAATAATACTCTAAGATATTAAGATAATAGCTCTAAGAGGGGAGGTAATGTTATAAGTAATAAGAAGGATTCTCTCCTTAATAAATAACAAGATAGCTGAAGGCTTATAGACGTCCACGTTAGAAGATAATAATTATCGTAGGGCCTAGAGTTACGTAATGTGCTATCCCGCTAAGATAAGATATCCTGCTAAGTATAGGATGATAATAGGATTAGGGATGGTATGCTATTACAGACATCCCGCTAAGGAGTAAGAAAATAGGATGGACGGGATAGTAGAACTGGAAGTAATGAGGATATAAGAATAGATGGATTTCATTATTACTCTCGTTGTGGTTAACTTAAATTATGCTTTCTTACTAGTATCTTTACTTAACAAGGTTATTATAAGTTAGTCTATTAAATAGATTAGTCTTATTAAACCCTTCTTAAGCACGCTAACTCTACTACATCGCTAGATAAGCCTTACGGAATACTAACGTAATACTCACCTACCTTAGTGCGGACTAGAATAGAGAAGTATAGACTCTTACCCCGTGTAATACTATAGTAGATTAGCGTTAAGTCTTATTACACGTGCCTTCTTCTTATTCACACCCTCTAAGCGTTTAGCCCCACTATTCTAAGCTTAAGTATCTAGTACTAAAGGCTTAATAGTAATGCCTTGGCCTCGTAACCACCGCTCTACTTCTAGTTTAACTATAGTAATCTTATTATCTATTTCGATTACCTTTAGAGTAATATTATATTAATTTTTAGAACAGGTAATAAAGTTTAAGAGTGTCTAGATAATTAATTTAACTATTTAATTGTCTATAAGATAGAAGTCCCACTATAATTATAAGTATTTATCTGTAATTAATAACTATAATAACTCCTTATTAAAGGACTATTTCTCGTAGGAGTAGAAATTAATAGAGAGCCTCTCTGCGGGTCCCTAATTATTAATCCGTAGAGCTTAGCTAATCTATCGTTAAATTTTCGCTCGTCCACACGCATTATACTGCACTAATATTATCCCTTTAACTTACACCCTCTTAGCTTACTAGACTAGGTATTTAATCGCTGCTAGTTCTAGATATTCTAGTCTTTTGTGCTAGAGAAGAGTAGGCGCCTGTTAAGGTTACTAACGCGTTTAGGTCATATATAAGTAGGCGTATAGAGCTACTCTATCTACTAATCTAATTGGCTAATACTTAAGTATCTATTAACTATACATTTCTGCTAGCTCGCAGATAGTTAATCTATCTAATTACTTAATTACTGTAGGATCCGATTAGGTATCCTACTAGAGTCCTTATTTTCTTAGTACTCTAAACGAGATAATATTATAGAGAATGTCTAGGTAGATTGCTACGTCGTAGAGCACAAGTTTCTCTATTCTTTATTTATATTTAAGTTATAGTGTAATTAATCTATATCCCTTAATCTAACTTTAGCTATTACCTGCCTATATAAAGTCTCTATAGCTCGGCGGTCGATAGTTATAGATCTAATTAGGTTTGTTTATAATATAGTACGTCGATCCTAAGTTAAAGATACATAAATTACTTAGTAGGTAATTATAGCGATCCAGAAGGGATACGGCTAATAACATAGTATTAATCTTTAATATCTATCTACTATTTAGTTATTTATTAAGTATATTAGGCGTAGGGGTTTAGGATTGCTTAGTTATTAGAGTGCGAGTCTTTGAGCAACTTTATGCTCGTAAGAGACTCTAAAACTCAGCGTTGTGCTCTTATTAGAGCTCTATAAGCTTTATAATTCTTAGATTTAGTTCCTACTACTCTAGAGCTTTCTCGCTATATACGTAGAAGTAATTATAGAGGGCATGTCCTATATTACATACTAGACATTTAGGCCCTCTAGCGTCTGCTATTATAGTTTTACTAGAAATAGCGTCCGCTTAAGCGGAGTTACTGTAGGCGTACGCTTTTATACTTTTACCTCTTTCTTATTAAGAAATTATTAAGCCTAGAGCCTAGCTATTACCTTCCTTACTAGCTGTACGTTAATATCAGGGTCTGCCCCGTTTTCTAGCTTAAAAGTTTCCCGTTTCCATATAGTAGGCGTACCTATCTACGCGCTAGTCAGCGTTACTATTCGCAGCAAGTAATATAGATGGATTATCTACTACAAATACTACCTTTTGGCTTCTATTTCGCGTAATCAGGTGATTTAGCATTATATATTCTCAGAAACGTCTCATCATATCCTTCTAAGTTACCTCAGGTTAATCTAATAAACTAGATTAAAAGTGTATTGCTTATATTAGAGCTATTTTATTTACTGCTAACATAAAGTCTACAGCTACTAGCCTAAACTAAGTAGTATCGGACACCTTAAGTGTCTTAGCTTCAGTTAGGGCTTAATTATACTCAGCGAGCTAGGTATCCTAGTTACTCGCTAATCATAGTAGTTTAAGAGCGTTGTAATATCGCTGTCGCGCTTATTCTCACTCATTTTCAATAGTAATACCAACGTGGGCTTTTAGGTTCTTAATCTAGTCTTTAATTAATCCGCTAGGCGGACAGCAGGTGCGCTATAGGTAAGCTGCAACAGTAGATTAGATTAGAATCTTAATCTACTAAAGGTTTACCACTTCGGCCTTGTACTTAGCGAAATCCACCTTATACAGCTCTATTTTAAGCTTATAGACCTTAAGGTCGTCCTTATAGGCTCGCTAACCTAAGGTAGATAGGTTAGTAAACTTAGTTAGTACTTACCCCGTAGGCAGCGTATTAATTAGCGTATAGTCGCCGTACTCTAAGAGCTTTGGAGGGGTCGGCTCTATTAAAAGCGGCTTTATCTTATTAAGATTAACCTATTCCTATAAATTATAGGTGACGCAGCGCGCTTCTAGTTAGTTATACTAAGCGCGGTAGTCGTACTTATCGCGTAGTAGTACTATCGCGTTCTACTAATTAGCTTACGCGTTTATGTTAGAGTTAGATCAGTTAATAGGTTATTAACGAATCGGTAGAGGCAGTAAGACTCTTAATTGTTAGAATACAATAGTTCTTAAAGATAGAAATAAAACTGTAATAAATAGCTGTAATAATTATATATAGATTGAATTAATTCTAATTAATTATTAATCTTCTTATCTCGTTAGAGGCGCGCCTGCGCGCCTCTTTTTAGAGACGTCTAGTTATTACTTTTTATATAAGGTAGAGCCTTTAGTTTCAGCCTTAGCTAGGTTATAGCCTTAGCGAAGGTCGCTCTTTTTAGCTATATATAAGGACTCTAGATACTGCGGCTTAATCTACAGCGTGTACTATTATAGGTGATCTAGATAGCAGCGGATCGTGTGTGATCACTGCTTACAGAATCTAGGTGTGCTTAAGCACCTGGATTCTATCAACTGTCCAAACTATGCCCACATTCTGACAGTAGGTTATTATTTACCTATATTACACGCGCTACGACGCGATCTAGTATAGAGATTTTAATAGTCTAAACCTAATTATCTATAGTAATATATTATTCGCGGATAATCTAGAAACGCGCCGCTCGTTACATAGATATATCGCGATATTATATAGTAAGGTGATATTTTAGAAGGCTGCTAGGTAAAATACAGTTACTACGTTAACTACTAAGGTAGAACTTCTTACGCTAGAACACGTATCTAAAGAAATAATAGCGATTAAGAGATTCTTTAAAGAACTACTAATTAATCTAGAGGAGCTCTAGACTATATAGTACGATAATTAATAGACGATTAGGTTAGTAGTTAGAAAAAATAAGCGTATTACTACTAGGCTCCGCTATATAGATATCTAGAATATATAGTTAAGATAGGAATATACGAAAGAATTATTCTAAGTATAATATCTAAAAATACATAATATACCTACAGACGGATTAACTAAACTATTAACTTATTAATAATTTATTAAGTTTAAGAAGCTACTTAATCTCTAAAACGCTAGTTAAATAATTACTAACCTAGAGAAAATATTATTAAGAGACTAAAGGGCTAGTAACTATAAGTATATAAGAGTAGAAGGCGAGTAATTATAATACCTATCTCTTTTATTATACCTAAACTCTAAATAAAAATAACTTATTACAAACTACTACTAGGATAAAGGAGAATTAAGGATTAGATATCCTTATCTAAAAGAGCTAGGGGAGGGAACTAACGCGTAAACTCGCGAGTAGCTATATTAGCTAATCTCTCTTACTTCTCTATATCTCCCTTAAGCTTATTAATTTAAGCACGCAAAAGCTTTACGCGTAACTAATAAGCTAAGATAAAGTTCTAATAATTCTAAGTAGTAAACGATCTATTCTTAACCTTCTCCTTAAGGCTCTTCTTAAGACTATACTTAGCGGCACGCTTAATAAAGGACTCTATAGAGCTCTAAGTAGATAGTTAATTATAAGAAGCTGTACGTATTAAGTAACTAGAGAATAGAGAAGCGATTAGCCTTAACGTAAAGGGCGGAACGTTCTAAAAGGGGGATAGAGCGCTAGCATTACTAAAGGGCGACGGCACTCTATAACTATATAGAAGAGGAGTAGCTAAATACGTAGAAGAAATATACTAATTACTGTACCTTTAAGGTAGGGATGGAGTCTTATATATAGGCGAATTAGATTTATAGTAATAATACAATCTATAACCTAACTTACGTTAATAACTAGACTTATAACTAGACTAAGAAATACTAAAATAAGAAGTAGAGAAAGTATACTTATCTAAGTACTCCTAATAGTACTTACTTAGCGTCTAATATATAGATAATTAGTAAGGTTTCTTAGTATAGATTAGAGAAGAGAAAGAACGGCGAGACGAGATATAGAGGCGTAATAGCTTAGGGGTGGAAGAGTGTATACTCTTTTTAAAGGGATTATTATTAAGATAGCTTAATTAGCCTTTCTTATAGTTAATAATCTTA